GAAGCAAGGTAAGAGATCCAACCAAGACACATTTATCTACTGCACCTACTTAAGTACTTAAATAGAAAGACTTCCTGCCTGACACAAAACACAGTAAAGATCGTGGTGTGATTTTAAGACCATCCAAGCCAGAGCTGCCATAACAGACAGCAGCCAATACTTCCAGTCAGTTGTTATTCATGACACTGCAATGGTCATGAACAACACTAGATTCAAAGTCTTCATAAAACAGATAGGCAACAGCTGCCAGCAAAGGGCACAGCTACCATTAACTTTTTACCATTTAGTGTCTGGAGGGTGGGTGGTCCAACACCTTCATAATGCTCATATAAGCTCACTTCTTAACTTACCTGAAATGGGTGATGGGTATAAGAAGGTTTTGAATTACAGTTTAAGATTTAGATTTTTTTTTCTTTTTAAGAATTTTAAATATTAGAAATATTTAGAGCTCTGTGAGGTACAAGACACAATATTACCAAATTTGAGCTCACAACAAATAAAACAAAACAGGACAAGATAAACCAAAACAAAGTTAAACAAAATGTCTGCCAGCATGAATTATCCGTAGTTAAGACTGTTTTCTTTCAACACTTTCCTCATTGGAGGGCCTAAAACAGATGAGCTGAAAAGTGGTTTTTCAGACTCCACAGAAAACAAATTACAGAAGAACTAGGATTTTACATACCTTGATAATATTTTTTGCTCCATCTCTTTAAGCAGAAATACAGTGCAAGATACAGGAAGAAGAAACTAAGCTGAACTACAGACTGCACTTTAACATTTTTAAGTGAAGTGCTATAAAGAAAAGGCTCCTATGAATTCAACTCTAGCTTGTTTTGAGAAGAACCAGAATAAGGCCATAACATACGTAGGAGGAAAAACTACTATCTTTATTTCCTTCATACAACAATAGAAAACAAAAAAAAAAGTGCAATCAGTGCAAATGGAGGTACAAGGCCTATCAAATCATTAAGGAAATACAGAATGTGAAAGGGAAAGCAAGGACTTGGTTTGGGGAAAAAGTGTCACAAGATTAGTACTTAGGCTATATACTTTATTTACTAAGGAAAAAAATCCTACATATTAAGAGAATAAAATAAAGACTTAAGGTTTAAAGTATTATATTGACTTTATTTATTTTTTTTCCACAGAACAGACTATTAATTAAGTCAGAAAGGCCCTTAATGTTTCATTCTTTTCAGTTGTTGGTATAATCTTACATCTTTTACAAGAAAAAGCAAGCAGTTCATATTTCTACAATGTTTTCTTGTGATATTTTTGTTGGGATTATAATATTTTCATTAAGTGACCCTTGCTACATTGAGGGAAATAGGTTACAGTACTGCAGCGTTACATACAAGATACTAAAGAACAGTGCAATCCAAATGTAATTTTATTACTAAAAATACTAGGAATTGCATTCCTTAGACATACTTTGCAAGCACTAAGAAAAAACAGTTTCAGTGTTCTTATATACAATCATCAATATGGCTATTGAACGTGATTATTGAAAAAAATCCCCACTTTTTGATTTACCTTATGTGAAATAAAGCTTTATCTTCTATACTTCCAGCAGTCAGAAAGATAAATAGCAGCACACTCAGAGGGACTGAAAAGTTGTAAGGGGTCAGGGCAAACTTGTGTGATGGACAGTATACATTCAATTATCTAAGAGTCTTAAGATCACCTAATAACACTTTTTCCATTAAAGTGGAAAGTTGAGTGTTATACTGACAATGTCAGGCAAACAGGATCTACATTCAAGGAGGGGAAAATAAAAGCAAACTTTGTACTGATGCAGTCCAGTTTTGTATTACAGAGTCAATATGAGTGGAGAGCAGAATGTTAACCAGCTAGAGGTGAAGGGGAAGTTATTAAAAATGTAACGAATTTTCATTAATTCCCTATTTTTGATAAAGGTTGCTAAAAGTAAACCAGAAGATCAGGTTTATTGCTTAAATAATATGTCATGTCACAAAAAAGGGGAGTTGTGATATTTTGGTGGTTCTTTCAAGTGACTAGTTGAGCGTTGCTGTTTTTTTTTTCTCTTATCCCATTGATAAACTTTCAACACTATTTTTGATGGTCAAAAATTAAATATTTGAGTACCAAAAAGTATGCTGAGAAAAGCAGCAAAGAATCATCTCACACAAAGTCTAAACTCATGCCTTTAAGTCAACCCACTAAAGCTTTTCTTTAACAACTCTTTCAAAAAAAGCCACTCTGAAAATTAGGACATTAGTACTCACATGCATTATATTTCTATGTTAGTAACAACAAGGCTTCAGTACACATGGCTAAGAAGGACTTAGCCCTCTCGAAGTTACCTGGAAGTACTGAAATAGAACTCAGCATAATGCCTCTTAAATGGGAGGGGGAAAGTCAGAACAAGGTCATTATTGCTGGTAATGTTGATCAAAGAAGAATAATTACTGAATTCAGTTTAAAATATATTTTGTTCTCTTGTAAAGAGGAAACGTCAAAGTTACTTAAATCTTATGACAATTAAGTATTGAGCAGCACAAGAACCTCATTTTGCATTTGTGCATGCTATCTAGACTTACATGAACACTGTATTAACCAACAGTGTTCAGTTTAAAAGACAACCCTGAGTTTCAGAGCTCAACTCCAACTGGTAACTAAAAACTGCAAGTGCAGAATGAGAACTAGAGCTAGCATCTGAACACAGAAAAGTGAAAAAGCAAAATGCTAATTAACTTTCTCCTAGAAAAATCCTACAGCTGCAAAGAACTTTTAGGAAAAAGATGCCAGAAAGAAACCATAAAACCTTTGTTTACTGTGAGGATGTTGGATGGCATTTATGTTGCATAACTTCAATGACCTAAATTTAGTTGTTTGAATTTAAGCTTTTCATCTAATCTCCCTTGAGGTTAAAAATCCCTTGAGAATGGTACCTTTTATTTCTGATGAACTAAAAGGCTTTATTTCTTCCCAGCAACAACCAAGGAAGCCTCTAACTAGAACACGATGCAGCATTACATTAAGACCATGCTATTTCAGTTGCAGAATCCTCTCTCCATACATTCTCCCACCGTCCTGTGTCAACTTTAACAAACTCTGAAATAAAACAAAGCTGGGGGAAAAGCACTCCATCTGATTCAACTCATCCTGTGGCTACATGACTGATGATAAAATGAGAGGGACCTGGAAGAACAGGTAGTTAGTTATCAGCAGAAACAGAAAGAAGGACCACTGCTTCAGGCTGGCACTCCACTATTAGTTCTACTTCGTCCTAACACCAGGCCACATTCTCAGAGAGCTAGTTTTCAGAGGGTTAAAGTAAAATAAAAGCTATTCCTTACGATTACCATCAAGTAGGATGAAAAAAGGCTAATAAGTATCCAGGGTTGCATTAGGCAAGGTATCACCAGCAGGTCAAGGGAGGTGATCCTTCCCTCAATTTTACACTGGTGAGCCCGTATCTGGAATGTTATGTCCAGTTCTGGGCTCCTCAGTATGAGAGACCTGAATGTACTGCAGAGTCCAGCTCAGGGCCACTGAGGTGCTGAAGGGACTGGAACATCTCTCCTGTAAGGAAAGGCTGAAAGAGCTGGGACTGTTAAGCCTGGAGAAGAAAAGACTCAAGGGGGAAGCTCGTCAATATAAATACCTGAACGGAGGCTGGAAAGAGGACTGAGCTGGGCTCTCTTCAGTGGTGCCCAGTGCCAGGACAAGAGGCAACCGTGACAAACTGGCACACAGGGGGTTCCCTCTGAACATCGGGCAACAAGTCTTTACTGTGCATGTCTGAGTGCTGGCACAGGTTACCCCAGAAAGGTTGTGGAGTCTCCATCCTTAGAAATATTTAAAAGACACATGGGCACAGTCCTGGGCAACCTGCTGTAGGTGTCCCTGCTTGAGCAGGGGGCTTGGACCAGATGACCTACAGAGGTCCCTTCCAACCTCAACCATTCTGTGTGCACAAACAAAAGCTTACTAACAACCCAGAAACAGGGTCAAAATATGTACAGTCATATAGTAGCAAGCGCTGTATGATTGTAACTCAACTAGTGGGATATAAAGAAATAAAAACATTCATTTCCATAGAGACAGCAAATGCATAAGATGGGAAGAGCTTCAGATACCTTTTAAGTAGAAAAAGGCCATCTCAGAGGCCATATGGGCATTTGAGAGCTACAGGCAACGACACAAGTTAAAAGACCACTGGCAGAAGACAGTAGTTGATTGTTCAGCCTCTGCAGCAGTACTAACATGGCTATATAACCAGAGGTAAGAGCGAAAACAGGCACTCTCAGCTCATCATTCAATGCACAAAATACAAATACTTTCTGTGCAGCTTTTTATAACAGTAAACAGCAAATAACTATACACTCCTGTTTCTTTTTTTTTTTTTTTAAACCAGGATGTACCTCTATTTCCACGTCATTCACAAAAAAAGCCTTTTGAAATTCAACTTTCATAAGGCTAATACCTTCTAAACCTTATAAAACAGATTGAAGGCGTACACCTCCACCGTAATATTCAGCAAAGAAATCATTGAAGCAAATAGAATCACAATGCAAAATAAACTTGTACAAACAAATGTGTATTCTTAGCCATACATTCACACATAGTAAAAACCTTTTAAAAAGACTGTTTTCTAACCTTTACAGAAGAAAATACAATGTACTTGAAATGAAACAATAATAATAGTCTTTGTTTAATAGAGGAAGCACAACTTTTAGAGAGAAAATATGCATAAAATTGTTTAGCTGACACGTCAATTAAAATATAGTCATTTTAAAACAATACAACTTAAATTTATTATACACAAAGAATACTACGTGATAACATTGATCAGATAGTAGGTTCATATAGATAACTAAGAGTTGAGAATTTGTTTGTGTACTTGTCTCAACTATTTTTCTACACGTGCAATTAGCACTCTTTGCATAAGTAGGCATTCATTTGTGCAGGGTTACATATTTTGTGCAGACTTATGCAGTTTATATATTTGTATACGATTTGTTATCACATACCCATGTGTCTGCATGAACAGGCCTGATGTTGCTGAGAAGCACCTCTTCGTAATTTCCATAATCACAGAACTTAACAACTGCAGTTGTCCCAGAAGAATGGAGAGCTTCAATTTCTGCCCGGTAGAACTTAAAAGAGAAATTTTCAAAGGTAATAAATAGCATGAAAACAGCCTTTTCATTTTCACTTTCTCCTCTACTCCCCACCTAGGTCAGCATTAAGTTTTGAGTAATATTTGTAGCAGATACTTATATATTAAACTTCTGCATGGCCCATGACTGCAAGGATGGGGGCTGTGTATTTAGATTATTCATTGAAAACATGTGCTGCTTATGACACTAGACTGAACATTTATAAGACTTGTTTTAAAGGTCAAATTAATCATTAATAAAAATGTTGTTGTATACGTGAAGTGCTACTGTAAGACTTTTTTTTTTTTTAAATGCCTGATAGGCACCTACTTATATATATATACACTATACTATACGTACTGATACCTATTTTAGCACATACTAAAATATGATAAAATTGCTCCTTCAAAAAGTCTTCATTTTTCAGCACACTATTTCATTTTTGTGACATCTGCAAACTGATTTATATAAATATATGAAGATATTCAGTCACTTTATAACTTACCAAACACAAAGAAATCATTATCTCCTAAGACAGAAACTCAGTACTGTATTTTATCACACTAGTTCAAAAACTGTCCTAGATGCAAGCAGCAGCTTTTATTATACCCATCAACAAAATACTCTAATGCACTAAATACTTTTCAGGCAACAGTTTCATACCTAGTTATTTTGAAAGTTTCCAGAATTTCAGTACTCATCTCTCAGCAATACAAAGTACTTCTCAAAACAGGAAAAAAATCCTTAATATATTATTATATTTCAAAATAGTTCATCCACCCAAGACATACATCCTTATTTGATAGAGTTAATTCACTATATTTTACCACTACAAAAGAAATAGTGCATGTTTTACCTTAGTCATACAAACAGAAGAGAGAAAAATAAATTAGAAAATAAACTTTAATACCACAAAAGACTTTAAATGGTGGGAATAAAACCTGTTCAAAGAACAGCGATAGTTAAGGTAGCTATTGGATTACCAGAAAGTGTCAAAAACTGAAGAAACAACAGAAGAGTGATAGGGAATACCTGAACAGGTGATAACAAATCAAAGCTTTTTTTTTTTTTTAAATTAATTCTTTAAAAAAAAAAAAAAAAGGATTAAAAGGAGAAGATGATGAAAGGCAAGTCTTTTGCCATAAAGAAAGCTCATTAACTGGAAAAACAGCTGAAGAGGAAGTATTTAAGCTTTTAAAAATTAGTAAAACAGAACTCTCGTGCAATACAATTAATTTGTTCCACAAATTATGCAGCTAAATTCTTTGGTCTACTGGTGATAATAAAAAGCAATCCTTCTGCTGTCTTCTTTCTGCAATCACTGAAACAAAACATTTTTTTGTTGTTGTTGTTGTTTCTTAACAGTCCTGTTCCTGCAGACTGGGTTTCCCTTGCAGTAGTGAGTGCTGCACACCGACTTATTCTACAAGAAGTCTACCATCTGTCTACTATTACAGTCTGTTCTGGATAGCAGAGCATCTTGGATTTGTTCCTTGGAAAATACATGGGCATCTAGATCCATGTTCATTCCTTCAAATTTTAGGCACTTGGATGAAATGTTTTAATTACAAGCTCAGTCGCCACATGTGACAGAAACAGTCACCTTGGAGACAACTTAATTTAAGCACTTTCAGGAAATGAATGCAAGCCATATATCTCATTAAAATAAAACGAAACAACAACAACAACAAAAAAGAGAACAGGAAGCTAGCCACAAAGCACAATACACAGCTATGAACAAAACCCCATGTCTTTGTGCTGGTGTGCTAAATCTCCCCTCCAGCATCTAAGAAAACATTGAAGGTACAACTTGAAATAGTTGTTATTTTGTAAAGGTATACCTTGTTGTCTTCCCAATAAAGAGCGAAACATTCATCCCCAGGTCTCCAGCTTCTTCCATACTCCATGTGAATCGATGGTTCCATTATTTTCTCCGGTTTGATAGGCCCCGATCTCCTTTTGGGTCCAGTGTTGTAATACAAAACTTTATCATCATAAGATGGAATCGTAGCGGGTCCTGATGATTTGATAGGACCTACACGTCTTCCTTTCTGATGATGTTCCGTATCTCCATTTGGTACAGCATTAAAATTATCAGTTCTACCAGGGTTTTGGTAATCATTGTTCACACCAAAATGTTGCTCATTTTTCACCATAAAGGTTTCGTTATTTATTGTTCGTGCCTTCCTATCACAAAAGTTTTCAGAATTGTGTATTTGGTTTTCCCTTTTCCCACGTTTCTGGTTATTGTTGTCCATAGTATCTTGAGCAGCAGAGTTCTCCTTGAGTTCTGTGAAGGACACCCCTTTTCCTATTCTGTTCTGCATGTTGTTATCCCTTTTTTTAAAAGAATTATCACTCTGGTGAGTGGCTATGGGATAACCCATATCCTTTGGCCTATCATTTCTAGGATAATGTCTGTCACTTTTAATTTTTTCATCTGTCCAGTGCTCTAAAGAGCTATGCCTTTCAGGACCTCTGTTTCTGGGTAACCCCCCACTTTCCAAAGCCTGCCTTGAATTTTGAAAATCTCTTTGAAAACGAGGAGGCTTCTCATTCCTTGGCTGTCTCATATCATTGCGAGGAATATGTCTTGAATGATTTTCTCTGATGCCATTCTGTTCTGTAGTCATAACTTTGGGCTGTATTTGATGTGGTGGCTGAAATTGTAATTTTGGTTCTATAAAGAAAAAAAAATATTTTAATTATTAATATGCTTCACGTAAGTGTAATTTTAGACCCCAACTGATAAATCAGCAGTAGTATTTAGAAAAGTAAGCGGTATTTAACTTTGTGACACAGAAACGGAATTGTATAGACAAATTTAGCAGACATTTGAACTGTAATTTTTTATTACTGGAAGACATAAGTACTGCCAAGACAAGTGTGCGTGTGAGTTATTATTAAATGAGTAACAACCACTTCAGAGAGGAAAATAGAATTCCAAGGCGAAGAAAGGAAGAGGAAGGCAAATGAGGGGGAAAAAATACTTGTCATCTGAATTGAAATTTTCTGTAAAAATAACTTGTTAACAGCTATTCAGCATTAAAGGCAACAACTAGCAGTGATGAAATGAACATAGCAGACAACCTAGATATAATGGGAATAGTAACAAAGTCCAGAACTATGACGACCCTGATCAATGAGCCATAGCAGGAACCGTTCGAGTGTTACCTTCAAGAGATTCAGCCAGAACTCTAACTGATGATAAGGAAAACATAATTATCATGGACCTTATGAGACAGAGCAAACTTTTCACTGGATGTTGGGCAGGGCAGGAGAGAGGTGAGCAGGACAGAAAGATCATGGAGCTCTGTGAAGCTTAGCATGACTACAATCCCGATAAACATTTTACTGCAAAATTTGACATTGAAACCTGTTTTTTACATATGTAAAATATAAATTTTTGTAAATTTTTAAATTACTCAAAAACGAGTTTGATAAATGTTCAATTTCTTTTAAAATTAAAAGATTACTTTTTAAATCCATAAAACGTATTTGTTGCTTTTTAAAAAAAAAAAATAATAAAGTCTTCCTTATAAGTTTAGAAATCTACGTCTTATCTATCCTTGGAAAGTAGAGCATGAAAATATAGTGGTTTTTTGTTTTCTATCTGTAATTTTTCTGCAAGAATCACTGTTTAACTTTCCCACTTCTGTATAATACACAGGAATCTTCTCAATTCAATTTCTTCTAGAAATGTTTCTCTTCCTAATTAATTCACAAGTCTCTATTCATGACTTTCTTCATTTACACATCTTAGTATGAATTGGTAGTAAAATCCTTGCGCTTCCACTCTTCCTATTTACATCTTAAGCAGCAGTCACTAACTTTCATGTGTATTCCTCACGTTAATTACAGATTAAATGACTGAACTGCTTGACGACACTTCTGAGTGCCTGTTGCTTCACAGACACTCAGAACAAAGCAGTAGGCACTAAGAAGTCATCAAACACTCAAGTACTCCTGGCTTTCCAATGCCATGAACATTACTGCTAGTACACATCATTAAAGTTATAAAAAATTCTTAAATGCTTCATTGTAAATCTTATTGTTTAATACTGTACAATATGAAATTCATTAAAAGAAGTCATTGACACAAGGAAAAGTTGTTCCAACAACAGAAGTAGAAATAGGCTGAATAGAATAGGCTGTTTGGACATTTTAATATTTTGCTGGTTGGCATGATTTTAGAATTTAAATATTTCATCTGCAAACTTTGATCATTTTATCAATTAAGAAGCATTTACTGAGATGGGTGTTCACCTCAGACAGCACAAGGACTACTTACAATTGTAAGACAATCACAAAGCATGCAGGGCAGTTATTATCATACTTCCAGCTTTTCCTCAATGCATTAACTATACACGTTTTCTGTTGTAGCTGGAAAAAAATTCCCTGAAATTTCTGATCAATTTCATAGCATCTAGCAAGCAATTTTAGCTATCGTGTAGCCACCTTAACAAAACTACGTAGTCTTACTAGCCACCAAAAAAATCTGGATATAGTAGATCTCTGAACAGCACTTCGATTCAATGGAGTGTGAAATTGCCTCCCCAAAATGGCCAATTGAATGACAGAGGAACATTTAGGGTATTTGCCAGTTTCCAATAAGAAGTTACAAGCATTCTCAGATGAGACCATTATTTTCTGTCTTTAGAAAAGCAATAACCTTCATAATTTAAAAAGTAGTAATTCAGAACTCAAATGCTATTCACCTACTTAACATAATTATGTGCAAAATAGAACCTTAAGAAACAAGTTTCATTTAAAGTTATGAGACCCACTATTCCACTAAGAAGCATGGAGATTTAAAACAGTGTAGCAGCTATGAAAAAAAAGAAAAAAAAACACAATATATTTAACTGTTGACGTGAATATCTCCACCCAGAATTAAGTAGATACTCCAGGAGTTCACATAATCTGTTTTTCAAGCAACAGAAATTTTAGCAGTATGTTACTATGTTAATGATTTATTTAACAGCAGGAAATTTCTAACTTACTGATTGCAAATAAACAGTAGGACTAGTGGACATTCAAATTAGTTATTGATATCCAACATAATGTGATCACAATACAAAAGCAACAAGCTTACTTTAAAGGATGTCTGATTCTTCAGTTACAGAATGCATTTTAAATAATATGGAAAAAAATCAAGTAATACTAAATGTTAGGCACTTGGAAAAAGACTAGACAATTTCTTAACAGTGAATACACACATCTTTTTTCTAGGCCTATTTACTGTGACACGTGAAAGCTGCTCACAGAACACTTGACATTTTCCTACTCTAACCTCCAGACACATCAAATCTGATGTTTTCTACAAAGATTCAGCTAATATGGTAAAAATGCACTAGCTTCTCAGTGGACTACATCATACACAGCAGCCCTGAATTACCAGGACATGCTAATCTATCACTTAACATTCAAAAGTAATCCGTCTACTGAACAAAAACTGTCAAATGAAAGTAAGTGTTACTTGGTCAATAGCAGTCAATGAAAAAACCTCAAGATAAAAATATTGCAGGTTCTTCACAAAGATGGGCTGTCTGCCCAAGTAGGTCTGACTGAGGAACTGAAAAGAATCTTAGGGATTCTAGAAGAAGTGAAGTGATGAAGGAAGTCATTCAGAGATCGTCTCCGCTAGTAGCAGCAGCTGATTTTCACAGCATAGCTGAGGCTGGACCTTGAGAGGTCCTCTAGTCCAACCCCCTGCTCAAGGAGTGGGTTGCTACTTGCCCAGGACCACCTCCAGATGGCTTTTAAAATCTCCACGGAGAGAGAATCCACAACCTCTCTGGGCAACCTGTGGCAGTGCTCAGTCACTCTCAAAGCAAAGTGCTTCTTGACATTTAGAGGAAACCTCCTTTGTTTTAGTTTGTGCTCATAAGCCTCCTGTCATGTCACTGAGCACCACCAAAAGGAAGAGCTTGGCTACATTTTCTTTGCAAGCCTCCTTCAGGGATTTATGCACTTTGATGAGATTCCCCTCCTCTTCCTTAGGCTGAGGAGTCACAAGCCCTCTCAGCCTATTCCTGCCCCACCTCCAACAAACTACTAGCCAAAGTTCCCAGAAAAGTTCCTACAGAGCAGTAACAAACACATTAATTTGGCATTTAGCACGAAGATTTGGTCTGCTATCCTGTCAAAGAGGGAGATGCCTCAGCACTGTCATTACCATTACAACCTGAAGTTGGGGAAAGTGGTCTGGAAGAAGTCCATTTCAAAATTAATGACAAGGCTTTTGTCTTCTCTTGGGTAGTTTTAATTTACCCAGGAGAAATGGTAGCAGTCTTCTTAAAACTGTCACTCAGTTATTTTAGTCATTTTAGCATTTGCATGTGATGATTTATACATTAAGACTGCACAGAGCCACCACAATTCTCTCGCCTACAAGCAACCAGCAGGACCTGCTGCAGCTGGAAACCTCAGCCAATGCAATTTAAACAACACCACCCTACGTGCAATGGGTTTTCAGAAGTACACTTTCCTGTAGCTCTCTCCTGTGGATTTTCTCATGTTTAATGAAGTGGTTAAACTCAGTCAGTGGCCTTTCCCCCACCGGTGGCAATGATTTGGGTTTCTTCCTCCAATGGGAATTCTGCTTTTATGCATACCTTTATGAAAGCACATCTTTAAGACACTTACTCCCAGAGCAAGTTTTACCTCGAATCAGCCAAAAGGTCCAAAAATTAGAGGAGAATTAATAACATATTAACATATAACCCTAATCTATTAATACTTCATTAATGTATTAACCCTAATGACACACCTCATGTCAATTATGACACCTTATGTAAACTCCAGTTTACTCAAGAGTTTTGTTTGTCAAATTACATAAAGATCAACATTATTGCTTCCAAAGTACACTATTTGGGAATATATAAAGCACAGTGGAATAAAGCATGAAAAAGATAGTTGAAGTTAGATAATATATGCCAGCCCAAAATTGTCCAAAAACAAAAACAACAACAAAAAAAAAAAGTTAGCATACTAAAAACCAAACCAAACCAAAAAAAAAAAAAACTATGTACTATATATCCTGGTTTATCTCAAGCAAAACACTGAAGTAGGAAAAGGACAGAAATTCTAATTCAAAAGTACATAAACGCCTTTAGCCTTTGGACAACTCTGAGGCTGGATCCCCAAGTGCACGTCTTGCTGCTTGTGACAAATGTTCACTCTCCACTAGTCGTATTTCCTCTGAGACATCTCTGAGCAAATGGTTAAGAATAATACAAGACAGTAAAAAATCTGTGTCAAAAATCTGTTATAAACCCTCCTAGAAGGTCAGCACCTCCTTTGTCATGCATCTCCTGCGGACAACACTGGTAGCCAAGAACATGAGGGTTACTGCAGCTAAATTAAGTGGGATGCTCAGATCTGGTGTAAAGCAATAGCCCATGGGATAGTGATGTTACACATCACTCAAACCACTAAAATGCATTGTCTGCAATTATGGAATGCATATCTGAAGAAGAGAACTGATAAATGGGTTTGCTTGGAAAAGAGAAAAAGCAGTCTGAAAGAATAAGGCCTTTAATGAGAAACTAGGAAAGCTCAATCCACACAGAGCTAACACAACTGATGGATAACATACAAGTCAATTATATTTTATAAATGCCTATTAGGAAAACAAATTCTGAAAGCTCTCTGTAACAAGAAAGGCGTATTATTATA